CAACCCTTAATTGAAAAGAGTCTGTTGAGCCCAAACCAAGAACAGAATCCTAAATAGGAAAAATCCAGATTACAAAATCAGCATAAAGATTCAACTAAAAGAAGTGATACTGTGGTACACACAACCATCAGCTGAAACCTGAATGTGCTATGAGTACACAAAACTTGTCTAGAAGGATTTTTATATCTGATACTGAGCTAGGACCTTTTCTGCACTCCTGTTCTTCACAGAATTTAAAATAAATAGCTGGATAAGAAAACAAAAGAGGAAAGATAAAAATTTTTTAAAGGAGAAACATTCACTTACCCCAAAGTTACTTTACTGAGAAATGCTTAATGTACAGAGGTGGCGGAAGGGGTGCAGGCAGGGCTTTTTTTGTAGAAAAAGCCCATCAGGAACTCATTAGTATAACAGGCCATACCCTACAGCAGGAACTCATTAGCATATTAGGCCACACGCTGACAGCACAGCTAATTCGCATATTAGGCCACACCCCCATGTCACCAGAAGTGTGGTCATCGAGCCACATCCACCTATTGCTTCTTATTCTCTTTACTTTGTTGTCAAAACCCAGGGCTTTTTGCATGTTAGGCCACACACCCCTAATTGTAGCCAATGCTGTTGAGTGTGGCCTATTATGCTAATGAGTTCCTGCTGGGCGTGGCCAACTTGGTAGCCAGCCGGAACTCTGTTCCTGTGCGTTCCTGCCCAAAAACAGCCCTGGGTGCAGGTATGCACCCCCTGTACAGGACTGTCAGTAGAATGTACCAGTCAAGGAATTATGGGAAAAACATTTTCAGAAGTATTTGGGTAACCTAAGTCACATTTAAACAGGAAAACATGAAGAGGCTCCTGAGTCACGTGGTGGTTTATAAGAAGCACACATCTTGAAGCTGCTTGTCTGCCCTTATCATGAAGCTGATAATAGATTAATACTGGATCAAGTCACTTGTCAAATCTGTTACGTGCTCCTATGTATACAAATAAAAAAGGTGTTTTGCAAGTTTGAAACAAACATGAAATACCATTGCCGTGACAAAGGGCTTGAATATATATTCTCTTGCTTCATGGCTGCACTTTCAAAAGCAGAGAAAGAAAATACATGGTAATAAATGTTAAAAGATAATGTTTGTTTTCCAAAGTTCAGCTAATGCCAACCTAGCAGTTCGAAAGCAAGAAATTGCAAGTAGATAAATAGGTACCACTTCGGTGGGAAGGTAACAGCGTTCTGTGCGCCTTGGTGTTTAGTCATGCTGGCCACATGACCACGGAAATGTCTTCAGACAGCGCTGGCTCTTCGGCTTTGAAACGGAGATGAGCACCACAACCCTAGAGTCAGATTCGACTGGCTTTCGAGCAAGGGAACCTTTACCTTTAAGGTCCCTGTCACATGAGCGAGATAATCCGGGGGTGGGGGAGTGAGGCTTTTTGCCCCGGAGCAAAATGAAGCGCGGTAGCTCGATCAGACATTCCTCCGAGGCTCCGTACTCAGGCCGTCAGCCGCCGATCACACGTTGATGGTGAAGCGTGGCAAAAAAGGGCAAGGCGGT